GGGGGGGGGGGGGGAGGGGTCCTTCATACAAAAAAAATGCTGAAGTCCCCCATTGGGCAGTGGAGGACTCAGAGCTAAGACACCCCAAAACTTTCCGGCGTGAGATCCAAAATGGGTCGGACGGTGGAGGGGGGGGGGTGTTCGTTGCTTGAAGTGGATCAATAAAACATCGAGCCATCAAAGCAAAGCTTATTTCTCACGTCGAGCAAGCTGAACGACCTGACCAACCACGCAAAAACTGCGGAGCTAGATGTGCGGCACGCACAATGTTTTGTTTTCGATTGGAGAGAGGCGAGCACAAAGCAGTAAGGAATTGTTGGCCAAACGTGCAGATAGGTCTACTCGGGAGCGTAAGGGAGCGTAAGTGGGGTAGCAACCCATGGTGGAGCGTACCTGAGAAGCTGGACGTTGGTGTACGCTCCATCCCGGCGTGTGAAAGTAGGATTTTAGGCTATGCAAATCGTCCCTGAACTTATTGTGGTGAAAATGACCTCCCAGGAGGAAAGCCACGGGACTCGGAAATGATAAATTGGGTGGTCGGGGGACGTCTGGGTGTTTACTAAGCAGAACGCCCGGCACAAGACTGGGGTACTTGTCCCAGGAGATGTGAACTTGGATCTAGACTACGAGCCTATGTTGGAGGCGCTATTTAGCGTCGGTGAGCTGGCAAGAGAACTGAAAGGAACCACAACCCCCATCGGACACTCGGATTGGGAAGGCCGAGTATTCCATATACCTTCCTATATAAACACGAAAAACAAGTGGCCACGGTCTAGTTGCTGTAGAGATCATGAGGATGGTGAAGAAGCCGGGAGGATGGAAGCAGAAACTGGGGACACAGGTTGGAGCTGCTGCTGATCGGGATTCCAAGGGACATGACGAGGACCGAGTTCAAGAACTGTTGTGACAGGGAGGGACTGCACTGCCTAGCACGGGGATAAGTACGCAGAGAGCATGAACATTTCCGGGTGAAATTAACCAAGGGAGACAGCCAAGAGTGCTTGGGGATTGGCATCGAGAAGCTGTCGAACTACGTAAGGAAGGTTGGATGGAGGGTTTGCGTCGCGAACATGATAGAAACAGACGAGGTAAGGAGACAAGAGGCGAGGGCGATGGAGGCGAGCAGGCAAGTCAGAAGAACGCCGAGAAGAAGCGGAAGACAAACGATAGAGTGCGCAAAATCTCCAATAGGGAAAAGCACAAGCGGAGAGTGGGGTCGTGGAACGTGTGCGGGTTCGCAAGGAGTGAGCGCAAACGGTTGGAAATAGTGGACCAAGTAGAACGAAGCGATCTAGATGTAGTGGGGATCCAAGAGACGTGTGAACTGGAGGATGAGGACGTGGTAAGCAAACTAGGGAAATACCGGTGGGTAGGGAAGGCAAGAAAGGGCTTAGACCCGAAGGCAAGGGGGGAGGGGGGAGTCGGATTCCTGGTCAAGGAACACTTGTTTGACGTGGTGGAACTAGTGGTGAAAACGGAGTTCGAGGAAAGCCTATGGCCTGGGGAGCGGGGTGAGGGAACGTATACGTCCCACCGTCGTCGAAGAGAGTCGCAAGCAAGGCGCAGGAGAACTTTGGGCAAATTGGGGAAGATGCCCAGAGGTTTAGTAGGAAGGGAGAAGTTGTCATGGTGGGCGATTTCAACTCCAGAGCAGGGAAAGCTTCCAGTAGAGGGCATGCGATCGGGCAGCACGGAGAAGACTAAGTGAATGACAACGAAGTGAGGATGCTTAGTTCTTCGGTAGCAACGAGCTGATGGTGTTGAACGGTAGGAGGCATCATAAGCCGGAGTTCACCTGGCAAAGGGCAGTTCGCAATGAATACTCGATCCTCGATTACATCCTGGTAGATGGGGGGAGCACACAGATCCCAGAGCTGCACGTAAGTGGGATATAGGTTCGACCGACCACTTCCTCATATGGGCAAACATCCGACTGATCTAGAAAGACGGAGAGAAATAAACAGAGGAAAGTGTTCCGGTGGAAAGTAGAGCGTTTGGGAGACGAGGGGACACGGGATGAATTCCAGAAGGGACTGGCTGGAAAGGCTGGTAGTGTAGAACCCTTCAGGAAACTGCTCAGAAGCGTCGAAGACGGACAGGTAGACGTACAAGCAGCAGGGGACAGGGTAATTGAAGGATGGGAATCCATAGTGAACACAACGGCAGAGAGAGTGGGAAAGAAGGTGGTACGATGTGGGGTATCGGTTAAGTGGTGGGATGACGAGCTGAAAGAAGAAATAGGGGAACGTAGAGAAGTCTTCAAGCAGTATCTGAGTGAGGGGTGTGAGGAGAGTTGGGAAAAGTACAGGGCCAAGAGGAAACAGGTGAAGGGACTGAAAAAGAAGAAAAAGTGCATTAGGGACGAAGTAGTGCAGAAGGCCAACGGAGGCCTGAAGGGGAACGCCAAGCACATGTGGTAAGGGATTAGTGAGATGGTAAAAAATACCGCGCAAGGGGGGGATACAGGGGTAGCAACTTTACGAGGTGTGAACGGTGGACTAGTCAGCAGTGGGAAGGGAAAAGGGAAGTTCTAGCAGGACACTACAAGAGACTTGGAGTGCCTTCGGAGAATGAAGCTTTTGACCAAGTGTTTAAGAAGGAGGTGGACGCATGGGCCCAGAAAGAAGAGACATCGAAGGCAGACGTTGGGAACGTAGAACAAGAAAAGGAGTTCACGGAGGACGAGGTTGAGGCGTGTGTGAACAAGCTGCAGTGCCACAAAGCAGAAGGGGCGGATGGGATAGTGAACGAGTTCATGAAGTTTGGGGGGAAGGGGATGATCCAGCTGATGGTACTGCTGTACAACTGCGTGTGGAAAAACGAATATCGGCCAAGTAGAGGAGTGGTTGTGAACTTGTTTAAGAAATGAGACAAGACTCACCCAGGAAACTACAGGGGTATCACACAGTTGAACACATGTTTTGTAAGCTGCTGAACGATAGGATGGTGGGAGTATTGGAGAAGGAACGTAGCATTAGTGAGGGCCAGGCAGGTTTCCGACAGAAGAGGGGGTGCGTAGACCACGCATTCACGGTAGGGAGAATCATCCAAGGTAGAAAGAGGGCGGGATAGCCGGCGTACTGCTTCTTCCTGGACGTGAAAAAGGCATACGATACTGTATGGAGAAATGGGCTGTGGAAACAATTGTCCAAGTGTGGGATCAAGGGGAAAATGTGGAGAGTGCTGAAGAAGATGACAAGAGTGTACGAAAAGCGCGGTCATGCTAGACGGAGAACTGTCTAAATTCTTCGACATTGAGCAGGGGGTCCCACAAGGTTGCACGCTGTCCCCAACATTGTTCCAGGTGTTCACCAACGATCTGTTGGAATTTGTAGAGGCAGTCCGAAAGGGAGTTCAAGTAGGGGACACGGAAACTTCGGTGTCAGGAATGCTGTTTGCGGATGATTTTGTTGGTATGTCGGAAACCCCTGAGGGACTGCAACTACAAATTGACGCGGCGAAGAAGTTTACTGATAAGTGGATATTGTCTGCCAACGTTAAGAAGAGTGCCGTCATGGTATGCAACGAGGTCAGGGAGGAACCAGTAGAACATAGATGGAAGTGAGGGATCGAGGAGATTGCAGCAGTGGACCAGTACACATACCTCGGAGT